CATGGCTCCCTCTCTATGCTGACTAACTCTAATGCAACTGAGAGGCAGTGTGGTCCAATGGATTGAGTCCTTGGCACCAGCAGACCGGAGTTCTATTCCTGGCTTGGCCTGCTGGATAAGCTTACGCAAGTCACTTCCCTGTCCTGTGCCTCAGTTTCCCCTCCTACTTTTTGTCTACTTAAACTGTAAACTCCCTGGGCAGGGACTGTCTCTCATTCTGTGTCTGTACAGCACTGAGCACAACGAGGCGCTGATCTTGGTTGTGGACACGAGGTGTTTCTCTTATAATACTTGCTCATAATCTGGCCCTGCTAAGGAATTGAAATGCAGAGGTGCTTCTGGGGAAGGGCAGAGAGCCCCATTCTTCTCATGTAGTCAGTAAACAGCACTGATGCTCCACCCAGGTCGATTTCCTGATAGCTGCTGTAAACTGTCCTCATTAACAGCCCTTCGCTGTAACTCTCTCCTCCTGAGCAACTCCTGAGTTTTAGTAAAGGCCCCAGCCCAGCAGCCCCAAATAGCACACCCCATCTCTCTTGTTCCCTGGGAAAGTAGGGGCTGGAAGCTACTGCACAGCCAGTGTGCTCAGTCCTGGGAAGAAAGAAACTTGCTAGACTTTACAACACCGTCTCCCCAGATAATCCACTTTGGAGGGAATCCCTTCCGTCCTCCTCTGCCCAAGGAACTTTGCTACAACACAGGGCCTTTGAGAGGGGCAAGGGAAAGGTGGGGGTGATCGCTCAGAGAGGGTTCCCTAACAAAGAACGACCAACTCCCAAGAGCTCTGAGATGAAGCATATTGCAGATGGTGGGACCTGGTGGGGCTACAGCCAGCTGGAAAAGGGCTCAGATCTCAGCAAACCTGCATGCTTTAGAAACGCTGCATCACAGAGAGAAAATTCCCTCCCAAGCCAGCAAATGGAACGGAGCTGGGCAAATGGATTGTTTGTCCAGTGCCAGGAAGAAGATTTCCCTGCAGCATAAGGAAAACACAGACTGTCCTCGTCATGCCAATTGTAGGGAGAAAGTAGCCCCATGGGAACAAAGCCCTGCCCAGGGCAGTGGTTGAAGTTGAGACACCTTGGGGAGGCTGCGGTGGAGCTGTTTGCTTCCCTCCGCTGGCTCTCCCAATGCTCAAGCAGCCTCTGAGGTGATGGACACCAGCAAAACACCACTGCCAGATGGAGATTCCCAGTAGTGCCTCCAGGACTGGACCTTCTAGGGGCTGGGTCTCATGTCATGTGAACAGGGGAGGGGGGGGGGCATTCCATATACCTGCTTCCTACTCCACTGTGACCATTGGCCCAGATCCTCACAGGTATTTAAGCTTCTAAATTCCACTGAAATCAATGGAACTTAGGAGCCTAAACACTTTTGTGGATCTGGGTCCTAGTTCTGGAGGCACTCAGGCATTGCAGTGAAGGGCATGGTATGAAAACATAAAGTCATCAAGTTTAGGGCCAGATGGGACCATTGTGATTATCTAGTCTGACCTCCTGCATAATAAGGCCAGAGAATTCCACCCACTAATGTCTGTATCAAGCCTATAGCATCTGGTTGAGCTAGAGGAGCTCTTTTAAAAAGACCCCCAATGTTCCCTTTAAGACTCCGTGTGATAGAGAATCCATCCTATCCAGCCAACAGTTAACTACCCTCACTGCTAAACCCTGGCACCTTATTTCTTGTCTGAATTTGTCTAGCTTCAGTTTCCAGCCATTGGATCTCATTATGCCATTTTCTGCTAGACTGAGGAGCCCTTTAGTGTCAGAAATCTTCTCCCTGTGTGGGTAGCCCAATGGGTTGGTCATGCTTTCCAAGCCCAGCTGGGCTGCTTGCTAGTAAACTGATGTTGGTTTTTAGAAGGGTGGAGACTTCCATCTGTGTTTAGAAAAAGACACTCAGGAAGTCCTGTCCCTTGGCTGATCCCCTTACAGCTCAATAATAAATAATCCAGCAGTTCTCAGCCTTTTCCAACCTTTGCTATGCTGGAACCCCCCCCCCCCCCCACGTCTCTAGCCAAGATGTCCTTCCCCTTTAGCAACAAGAGAAAGGCAGGGTGGTCAAAGCCCCACTATGGGCTAATCCAATGCCTCCCACCAGCACTGGTTTGTAAAAAGTGCAAAGAATATCGGAAGTATTCCAGAGTGCCTTGAATAGGGGAGTGCCTGGCTCTGGAGTTGGCCATGGGCTGCAGAGCCTTTCACTGCCATGTTCCCATGCCTAGTCTGTCCCACGCCAGTGTCATTGGCTGAGAGCTGCTGGGACACTTGGGCAGTTGGAGTGGAACAAAGGCAGCTTTCAGGCAGCTGGTTTCCTTCCTCAAGAATAAAAAAATCCCTCCAGATAGTAGATGCCAGGTCCCACAAGAGAGGTGCAGAACAGAGATTTGCATAGCCCATGCTTAGACCAAAAGGCCAGGGTCACGTAACAGAGGCTTCTTCGCAAAGGGTCCTGTTCTTTGCAAACAAGCCTCGCCTGAAACTTGACAAACTCACTACATCGAACATGTCTTACAGAATATTTATCCATAAAGCATAACGTGTCAGGTAGCTACAGAAAGCTCGTAACTTGTCAAGATTCATAATCATTGAGAGATGTCTGTATGGGTAATAGTTAAGGAATAATGGATATTGAGAGTGTGCTTTACGGGGGTGGAGGGGAGAACCAACTTTTTAGAAAGGAAAGGGAACTATTGAGAAGTGCCTGTTTTGGTTTGTATTGTAACCATTTGTTTCCAGCACTCTCTCGTTTCTATTAACTCTCCGTTCTTTCCAAATAAACCTACTTTGGCTTTATTCTAAGTGCTTACAAGTGCTGTGTGTTATATAGGAGCAGTGGTTTGAGGTAAAACTGGCAAACTGGGCTACAGGGCTCCTATGGGGGCAGAGGATCTGGGATTTCTGTGCGTAGCGTGTCCAGGTATGGATATCGCAGGGGAACGATTCAAAGGGACTAAGGTGCACCTGTTGTTAACCTGCAAGGCAAAGGAAGGACTATGGTGAGAGGGAGGCTCAGATGGTCATCTCCATCCAGCAGCCCCCCCAACACCCTCTCCAGAACCTGCTGCTCATTTTCTGGCTGCACTTTCCCCTCACCTTTTTATTCAGTCACCTCACTCAGTCCTAGGCACCTCTTCCTGACGCTGGCTGACTCTCGCTCCTGGAGGGAGGTGGCCACAGGGACTCTGTGTGCACAGAGCCTTGGCTATGCATACGGTGATCCAATCAGTTACCAGCTGGTAACACCCACTGATGCCTCTGCTCTCTTAGAGCACTGCCCAGGCAGTAGTGCTGGAGTCCCCCATTGGTTCCCTCCCGACCTCCCCTCCCCCCACTTCCATCAGCTGTTCCCCAGAAAGAGTTCACTTCTGCTTCCCTGAAGCCCATCCCTTCTGCTGGAGAGGCCATTGCCCCACTTCTGCAGGGGTCAGGCCAGCACCCCCCCCCCCTCCAGTATTAACCCAGAGGGGTCAGTCTCAGGGCTGGTGGCTAGATACCCTCCTTTCCCATAGAGGTGAAAGCTCCAGAGGCCTAGAGCAGAAGTGGCAGGTGGCACCTGAGTCTACGAGAGGTCTATGCAAAATGGCATTTGGGCTGGTGCCGAGGCCTTAACCGATCACACCTGGCATCCTGGCTTGGGGCCTAGGATGGGTAGGACACAGCCCCTGAGGGGGAGGCAGTATTGGTGCTGGCAGGAAGGGGCTGACAGACAATGAGCACGAGTGCCATGGGCTCTGGCAGCAATTGCAGAGGAATGACTGGGTGCTAGGCTGATGTGGGGCTAGGTGGCAGTTGTAGCCTAGAGGTCCTTCATCAATCACCCACCTCCTTCTGAGGGGTGCCTTAAGGTGGACCAGAGAGCCGACCAACAGTGCAGCATGCTGGGGTAGGGCTTGCAGGTCCCTGGGCCTGGCCGGTTGGTGCTATTTGAGTTTTGTCTTTAGTACTAAGGGAAATTAATTTTGTTGTGTCTGTTTCTCAGGACTACAGGGGCACGATTTCCACTCCCAAGTCACATCTGCCTGCAGCCCCAGCCCCATAGGCTTTGACCTGGGCAGATCTCCCAGGGCCAGCAGTGCTGGGTCTGTTTCACAGCTGGATAGGATACACCCCCAGGCATAGCACTGGTGCAGCAGGAAGCATGGTGCTAATTCAGGCAGTGACATCCCTCCTGCAGCAGCTGCACTGAGCCAGCTCCTGTGCTAGAAGAAGGGCCAAGTTTTAGGAAAGATGCAAAGACAAAGCCCTGAGTGCTCAGACAAATGACCATCATTGAGCACTGTTCCTAGGAGGAAGAGCCAGTGTGGGTTGATGTGACAAGGCAAGTGTTTACATTCAGGCCATCCTAGTTCAGCACACCGTGTTCTCCATGTCTCATCACACAACACACCATTAAGGTTGCTATGGACTGTTCAACCTAGCTGTGCTCTAGCCCAGAGGTAGCTGCAGTATGACACTGATCCAGGAAGAACGTAAGCTTTTTGACAGTCTGAGGAAGACACAGGAGGACATACCGGTGCTGGCTGAGAGCATTTTTAAAGAACACATCAGATGTTCACCACATGCTTTGGGGTTACAGCCACTGCAGTACAAACAGATCCACCTAGGACCCAATTCTAATGTCCTTACAGAGCAGGGACTCCCTCTAACTTCAGTGAGAAAGAGCCATGCAGGCCAGAGGAGCTCAGAGCTGGGCCTAGCTCTTCCTCAGATCCCACCTATTCACCTGAAGGGAGAGCTGGGGTGAGAGTGTACAAATGGCAGGCAGGGCTAGTGACAAGACTGCATATGGGTGAGTCAGGTGGACACACACAGGAGATGGGTGGGATTTGGGGTCAGTCACAAACCCAGGCGGCCCTCTGGTGTAAGATGGACTTCCTCCCTTTTCCCCAGCCTACCAGCTTTGGCCCTCACGCTCCCACCCTTCATGCTGGCCTCCGCCTCCACTCCACACCCAAGGCCCTGCTTCCCCAATTCTACATCTGCCAAGGAAAAAGACCTTTATTTTAAAAGCAGAGAGCGGGGGAGGCTCCCGCAGCAAACACCCGGTGCTGGCGCACAGGGGACTGGCCTCCACAGCAATAAGGAGCCGAAGGAGTAGAGCTAGACCAGGCCCCACTCCCCTAATCAGCTGGCTCACAGCCACTCGGAGAAGGAACAGAACTTTACACCATTGGCCGTTGCCTTGAGACCCTTTTGGGGAGCGCAGGGGTCACCCCCGTCCTTTCACTATGGCTGGCAGCCTCCCTTTTTCCCCCAGAGGGAGGCTTTCCCTCCCAGGATCCCGCCTCCCCTAGGACAGGCTGCTCAAGGTGCACCATGCCGGCCTTAGCAGCCAGGAGGAGCGCGTATGTGAGGCGGTGGAGGGCACCATTCTTCACTTGCAGTGTCTACAGTCAGACGGCACAACTGCATTCAGCTCCTCTCTCCAAACCGAGAGCACAGGCGGGTAACCCAGATGAGGCAGAACATCCCCCTCACACGATCTCCACTGCCTTCAGCATGTCCGACAGAACGTAGGAGCTATCCCACGCTCGGCCGGGCCTCCTCAGAGTCCTCTCCAGAGTCCTAGCTGTCTCCAGGAGCTCCGGGGCAGCCAGCTTCCCCTCAGGGTGCGGCTGGCAGAACAGGATTTCGTTGACCTCCCCCTCGATCCTCCGGGCGTACAGCAGAGGGAAGACCTCCTTGAGGGAAGCCAGAACTGAGTCTTTGAGCAGGGAGTCTCGGCACACCAGATTGAGCACAAAAACACCTGGAGCAAGGGGAAAGAGACCCGAAAGCACAGGCACGTTTGGAACTGGAGTGGTCAGAGGCAACCTGCCCCACCCTACTCCCCACCCTCCGCACCAATAGAGGCGCTGCTGGGGGACTACAGATCCCAGCAGGCTGAGCTCCAACTGGAGGCAAGCAGCCAAGCATGCTGGAACCCACGGTCTAGCAGCAGCATGGCCAGGCTTGCAGTCCGCTCCATTTATGCCCATTAGGTGCAGCTCCTGAATTAACAGCAAAAAGGCGCCATGGCCCTCGTCTGGGTAAAGCTTGAGAGCACCAGCACCGAAGGCCAAGTGGGTGAAAGTCTTGGCACACAGCGCAAACAAAGAGGCCCCTGCAGAGCAGCCATGGGCCTGCAGCTAGTTAGCAGCCGATTCCAGTGTCTAGCAGAGGGGTCCCGTTGCTGTCGCTAATGCCAGGGAATCACTGAGCATACACAGGGCCAGCCTGCCATCCCTCATTGCCCCTTCCTCCATGAGCAGACCCACTGGTATCAGCAGGCCCACTCATGGAGCAAGGTGCTAGTCATCCTGGGGGAGGGCATTGCAATCTGACCCACACCGCCCTGTACATCCATTGAGCAGCTGCATCTGCCTCATCAACGTTATGCTATTGAGCCTCCCGTCAGATGGGCGTTATTCGCTCTGTTTTACAGAGTGGGGCCGAGTCACAGAGGCTGCTCTGCCACTGAGTGGCAGAACCAGGCACAGAACCCAGAGATCCTGCCACCCAGCGCCCAGCTTTCACCACTAGGGTCATGCTTGTTCTCTTCCAGCATGAAGAGACTCTAAGAGGGTGCTGACACCTGGAGACAGCCGTTTGGGAGGCAGGCGCCGTAGCGCGGCATCTGCGCACACGCGAGGCTGTCGGACAGCCTTTCCATACCTTCCGGTGCCAGGATGGTTCTAACCTTCTGCAGGAAGGACGTTTCCACAAAGGCTGGGGGCGGGCAGCTCATTCCCAGGGTGGGATCCTTGCTGTCTACATCGAACATGACAGCATCGTACCGGGCTGGTGCTGCGGAAGGAGAACAGCCCAGTTAGCGTCCAAAGAGCAAGGCAGCAATAGCGTGGGATGAGCCAAGCACTGCTCACTGCCATAGTCACTGGGCGAGTGGCTGAGATAAAAGGTGGAAGGTTAAAAGAGATTCTTCTGCCATTTGCACAGCAGCTTCCATCCAAGGCTTTATGAATGACACTTGCAGGAGTCTTCTCCCCTTCCACAGAAATGCAGCCACCTCTGGAGTGGGTGTGGCAGCCGCTCAACAATTAACAGAGGAAGCAAAGAACACTGTCACATTGGAACTACAGGCAGCCAGGCTGGAATTTGGCACCAGGCTAGGAGATCTTTAAATGACCACAAGTGGTCACACCGCCCATTTGACATCTTGCCAGAAAGATGAGCCCTCCTGCAGCACAGTGACCCCCCAACGCCAGGCTGTGGCATTAATTCAGTAGGGACCGGGGAAAGAATGCAACCAATGATGCACCACCACCACTTTCTCTAGCGTTTGGGTTCTCTTTGGAGGTCTCCCATCCACCTACCAGCAAAGGAGGACTCTGCTTAGCTTAGGAGAGCTGAAAAGATCATAGCTCATGATGCTAATGGCTGCAGGTGGAAGAGAATCAGATATCCTTCCACAACTTGCTAATGGCACCTCAGCTCACGTGTGTGTTACATACAAATTAAATGGCTGATGGTAAAGCAGTGATGGGCTAGCATGGAGGGACTGGGCAGAGGAGAGAGAGGTGGTGTGGCTCAGAATGGAAGAGAACCTCTCACCAGAAGACACACTTGGTTGGGGAGTAGGGGAATCAACAAGAAAGGGATGGGTATGAGTCAGAGTTGTCCACTGAGGTAACATCATCAGATCTCTCTTCCCACCACCCCATTGGGCACTGCCTTAGTGGGATCTCCGGAACAGCAAGTCTCCCCATCCCCTCGCCCCATCCCTGTGAGGTACAAGGCTAAACAACCACAAGGAGCTTGAAAGATGGGCGTTGGGGTTGCTGCACTCAGTGTCCAGGGTCGAGAAGCGCAGAGCAGTGCTGAGCGCTCCCTTTGGTGACCCTGGCTAGCAGCTACAGGCGTGGAACCGATACCATCCTCTCACAGCATTCAAGAGTGCGGAGGCAGGATGGGGGGGCCTCAGGGATGCATCAGTCTGCAGGGACCCTTGCCCATTACCCGCCGCTGCTGCCAGCTCGGCCACGTAGTCCAGGCCGTCCGAGATGTGAACCTTCATCCTGTTGCCTTGGGAAAAGCCGAACCACCGGGTAGCCACCTCCAGCATGGAGGGGTCGATTTCAACCGCCTCGACGCGGGACTGGCAGAAATAGTCGTGGATGAAGAGAGGCAGGCTGCCCCCGCCCAGCCCGATCACCAGCACCGAGAGCTGGGCTCCTGCAAGCGGGAAGCAAGCTGGGAAATTAACTGCCGCGGCAACCTGAACCCTCCGTGCTCCATGCTGCCCCCTCCAGGCCAGTGTGGGAGAACACTATGCTCACATTCCACCCACCACTGCATCTGGCTTCGCTAGGCAACGGGGTCCCTGCTGGGGTAGAGCTTGGGCAGGGAAGCTGCTTCCTCCTCATCCATGCACTATCTAAAACAAACACATCTTTAACCCTTTCCCTCCTGCAGCTGGGTTCAGTTCGCTCTCTGCTGCTCTGGACCCATCTCCTCCCTACCTGCTCCCTCTCCTCCTTGAGTGGATTTAGCTAGAAAGCTTTCAGAGGGAAGTTTTCATTTTAATACAGGCCACATCTGGCCCTCCAGCTGCACACTGGGGTCCCCGTGGAGTCCAGAAACCAGGCCCCTCACCCCTTTTCCCTCTGTTTCAGGGTGAGAACAAAGCTGATCGACTGCAGGCGACTGTCCAAGGAAATTCAAGCCACCGGCAACTCGGCTCCTACAGAAGCTACCCATATAACAGGGACGTACATGTCAGGGAAGTTCAGGGCAGTCGAGGGACTCCTGTCCAGCACCTTGGCGTCCCCGTTGCTGTCGCTGCCTTACTGGCTGGGGGTAGAGCTGCTTTTGCTCAGCTCTTGGTATCCTGAGACAGCAGGAGCCTTTCGCGGAGGCTGTGGCTGCCCACCAGCTACCAGGCCATCAGCTGCAGAATGGGAACGCAAGGGAGCACCCAGGATAGCGAGCGAGCAATAGAGCCAGGCAGACAGCAGTAGGCACCAGGCCACTACCCTCTGCTCAGCTCAGACAATGCAACCTACCAGGCCCTGAAACTCCCCTGGCTTTGCAATACCAAGCAGCTACGGCTGGCTGGGCTTTGGACATACACGATGCCTGCTAGGAACATGCTGAAGCCACACTGCTTGTTTCACTTACTGACCTCGCCAGCCTTTTAAACTGGCTCTGTAGCGACAGGCGGTGAGCGCCCTAACCCAGAGCACCAGGAGACCCCCAGGGCTAGCGCCCAGTCCCCCCACTCAGCCAGAAGCACTTCACCAACCCAACATCCCCCAGTTACCCATCCACGAGACTGGAAATCCAGTCCAAGGAGCTCCTCTCTGACCAATAGTGCTTGGCGCTCCTCCAGGGCCTGCTACGGGAGGATCTCAAAGCACTTGGTGAGCTTGAGCTAGCAGGGCTTCCCCTCCCTTCTGGCAGGACATGGGCGTCATCCTTGCTGCTTTACAGACAGGGGAGCTGGGGCAAAGACATCAACCCACAAGCACTCTGTGTCAGCGCCAAGAACAGAAACCAGGAGTCCAGAGTCCAAGGCTCCTGCTCTAAGCACTAGCCTCCGCAGCCACTCCATACCAAAACGAACGTGTGCCATTTCTGTAGCATCTTTCATGCTGGGGGAGGCTACAGCACTATCCACAACGTGTCCAGACAGCACCAGAGACTCACCCCTACCTCTGGGATAGGGAGAGGACACGGACGGACTAGCACCAGAAGCAGCCAGAGGGGAGTCCCTGGGCCTGCCCTGCCATTCGGTCACTGATGGAGACACTCGCCCCTCCCCTTAGCTGTCCCTGACTCTGAGTTGACTAGACCAGGTACAAGTGCAGGGAAGACTTGTACTAGGGACTTGCCCTCTCCTATGGCGGGGGTTGGGGGGGGGTGTCATTTCTCTTAGCTCATGGGCCTCGCACCTGGTAGGAGCTCAGGGTTTCTCAGCAGAGCCAGTCCCGCAACCATGGCCTTATGGTGTTCACAGCAGAGGTAGCTCCTGTCAATGGTCTGGCAAGCTGATGTTGGGGGGGCCTCGGTGGAGCCAGATGCCTGTTTCTTCTTGTCCTTCTTCCGCTTCTTCTGGCCTGAACACAGGAGACACATTAGCCAGATGCCCAGGCAGACATGCAGAGGGGCTGGCACACCTGACAAGCGCTGGGGACAGCAGGGCATATCCTTGGGGGAGAGGGGCCGCTAAGTCCCCATGTGGCTATGCAGAAGCTTGGAGAAGGGCTTGTTTCATTCTGCTGTATCCATTAGGGGTTCATCTTAGGGTCAGACTGTAGCTAGGTTTTCAAAGGGGCTGGATGATCTCTCCCCTTCCCCAAGCCTGCAGTCCTACCTCTGGCTGTGGCTAACTCCTTTTGCTGCTCCCTTTCCAACATTTCAAACAGACACCCACGCCTTCATATTCACCTGCCTGGGCGACTGGAGCCCCACACCCACTGACCTCTGATACCAGCCTCGTTCCCCTCCAGTCTGTACACACGTCATCTCCAGACTCTCCCACCTCCCCCGCAGCACGGACTCCATCACCTGTCCCCTTTACAAGTCCCTGGGAAAAACTATTTCTGATCATTTGTTCTCAGGCAGCTAAGACTTCAAAGGTGGCTGCCAACAGGAAAACATGGGGCGTGGTCTCATGTCAATTCAACCAGGACCTTGTGGCTGCTGTGACTGGCTAGAGGTACTGTCATGTCAGGGTTTATCAGTTTTACTCTCTTAGGGCTTGACTACATTACCCACTGGATCGATGGGCAGCGATCGATCCAGTGGGGGAGGTCAATTTATCGCATCTAGACTAGATGTGATAAATCGACTGCCAAGCACTCTCCCGTCAACTCCGGCACTCCACCAGGGTGAGAGGTGCAGGCGAAGTCAACAGGAGAGTGTCAGCTGTCGACTTACCGCAGTGAAGACACCACGGTAAGTAGATCTAAGTACATCGATTTCAGCTATGTTATTCACGTAGCTGAAGTTGTGTAACTTAGATCGACCCCTCCCTGCCCCCAGTGTAGACCAGGCCTTATTCTCAGTGTGTCCAACTCCCCCTCGTCCTTAGGGGTTTTGTTTTGTCCTTCCCATAATGAATTAAAATGCTGCTCCTGGCAGCCGTGAGATGGCACCAGGCCTGAGACGACAATCCATCTCTCTTGAGTCCCACTAAACATCTAACAGCTCAGTAATATTCAGATTGGGACTCTACATCAGGTCGTTGTTAAGACTGCCTGCCCTCGCTCAGCTGAAGGTGGTGGTGGTGGTGGAAGAATGGTTTAGAAGCACCACTAGGAGCATTGAGAAAGAATTAAGAAAAGGAAAACATAGGATGAACACCAGAAAATGTTTCCTCACAGCAAAAGGTGCAGGATTGGACTGTGGGCTAATCTCCTGAGGATACCAGCTTCTCTGAGCAGGTACTGTTCTTCCTGAGCTTTGGAAAGTGCATAACCCACCATGGACACCACCAATAAATCATAAAGCTAAGTGGTGGAAGCTCCATCATTGGAGTCCTTTAAAATCAGAGAGGACAAGAGGCTAGAGAACATATTCATAGACTTTAAGGTCAGAAGGGACTGTTGTGATCACCTAGTTGGCCTCCTGCACATTGCAGGACACAAACCTCGCCCACCCAATCCTGTAACAGGCCCCTAACCTCTGGCTGAGTTACTGAAATCCTCAAATCATGATTTAAAGACTAAGTTACAGAGAATCTGACATTTACTCTAGTTTAAACCTGCAAGTGACCCATGCCCCACACTGCAGAGGAAGGTGAAAAACCCCCAGTCACTGCTAGTGTCACCCAGGAGAAAATTCCTTCATGACCCCAAATATGGCGATCAGTTAGACCCTGATCATGTGAGCAAGACTCACCAGGCAGACACCTGGGAAAGAATTCTCTGTGGTAACTCAGAACCCTCCCCATCTAGTGTCCCTCTCCAGCCATTGGAGAAATTTACTAATAGCAGATGGGTCACATGCCATTGTAGGCAACCTCATCATACCATCCCCTCCATAAATATATCAAGCTCAGTCTTGAAGCCAGTTAGGCTTTTTGCCCTCACTGATCCCCTTGGGAGGCTGTTCCAGAACTTCACTCTTCAGATGGTTAGAAATCTTTGCCTAATTTCAAGCCTAGACTCATTGGTGGCCAGTTTATATCCATTTGTTCTTGTGCCAACACTAACCCTTAAACACCAGGGAGGGAGAGTTATCTCCCCATAGCCTTCATTTTGTTAAGCTAAACAAGCCACACTCTGAGTCTCCTCTTGTAAGGTAGGTTCTCCCTTCCTCTGATCATCCTAGCAGCCCTTCTCTGCACCTGTTCCAGTTTGAATTAATGTTTCTTGAACATGGGAGATGAGAACTGCACACAGTATTCCAGATGAGGTCTCACCAGTGCCTTGTATAATGGTACTAACACTTCCCTGTCTCTACTAGAAATACCTTGCCTGATGCATCCTAGGACTGCACTAGCCTTTTTCACAGCTGCATCACAGTGACGGCTCATAGTCATCCTGTGATTGACCAATACACCCCAATCTCTCTTCTCCACAGTGGCCCCCTGGGATGAGCTAGATGTCACCCAATGTGGTTGTTCCATTTATTCTCATGATGTGCTCCCATTGCTTTCCAACCTGCTTATTGCTGCCCAGAGCAATCCAACGGCTCCTGGGTATACTGCAACTCTTCCCAGCCCTTTACTGTGCTGCCCAAGCCCTGAGAATCTTTCCCAAATTTCTAGGCTCAAGTTTACACACCTCTAGGGGCTGCACTGGACAGCAGCCTGGCTTCCGACTGCACCACATTCCTGTTGCTGAGGAAGATGAGCCGCCGGAAATAGCACATGTTGTCCCCTTTTACGTCCTCAATGAGGTATTCCCCGCTCATGGCGCTGGTGTCCTGGTGCTGAATGGTACGGACCCCGATGTCCCCCCCTACAGAGAGAAACGGCACCTGGGGAGAAAGAAAAGCAATGGGGGAAACTAACTCACACAGGAGACACCAGGGAGCTTTACAGAAAGAACCAGAGGAAGAGCTACCAGCCCAGAGACTGCAATAGGAAAACGGCACCAGAACAAGACTGCCATGAACACAGGGCAGTATGTTGTTCTACTCGGTATTGTGCAAACTCCCACCTGAAATCCCTGTCTAAGCTGATTGGAGACCAAGGCAATAGCACTGCATCCCGGCTCAACAGGCCCCCATATAGCATGATGGTCCAAGGGGCTGCTGTTTGGATACAGATTCTGATGGGTTCAGAGCTTGGCTTTCAGGCCAAAGCAAGGATCTGGTCTGATTTTCAGTGATGCTAAAATAAATCAATCAAATTTCTCTTTTAAGATTGTTGTCCAATTTGGCAAGATTCTTAGGAAATCAGTTGTTCTCGTGAGAATTCGAACGTCTTGGCCAGAAACCTCATGAACAATTTCAAATGCCTCAGAACCAGGCCCGGAACTAGATCTGCAGGGGCAGGTCCAACCCTGGGGATTTGAATCGGATTTCCCACATCTACTGAAATCTGAAAGGAAGACAGATTATAGAATCCAGTTTTGCCTGGTTCCTGTACTTTTGCCTTTAACAGGAGACCAGCAGAACAGTTTCACAGAGTCACAGAAATCTAGGACTGAAAGGGACCTCGATAGGTCGTCTAGTCCAATGCCCTGCACTGGGACAGGACTAAGTATTATCTAGACCAGAGGCGGGCAAACTTTTTGGCCTGAGGGCTACATCGAGTTTCTGAAATTTTATGGAGGGCCAGTTAGGGGAGGCTGTGCCACCCCAAACAGCCAGGCGTGGCCAGGTCCCCGCCCCCTATCCGACCTCCCCTGCTTCTCGTCCCCTGACGGCCCCCCGGGCACTCCTGCCCCATCCAACCCCCCTGTTCCCTGATGGTCCCCCCGGGACCCCTGCCCCATCCACCCCTCCCTGTCCCCTGAACGCCCCCAGAACCCCTGCCCCTGACTGCCCTCCGCTGCCCAATCCAACCCCTCCTCTCATTCCTGATTGCTCCCCCGGGACCCCTGCCCCCATTCAACCCCCTTGTTCCCCGCCCTCTGACCACCTCACCCCCTATCCACCCCCTGACTACCACCCCGAACTCCCTTGCCCTCTATCCAACCCTCCCTGCTCCTTGCCCCCTTACTGTGCTGCCTGGAGCACCGGTGGCTGGCGGTGCTACAGCAGCGCTGCCCAGAGCGCCAGGACAGGCAGCCATTCTGCCCAGCTGGAGCCAGCCACGCCACCATGCAGCACAGAGCACTGGGTCAGGCCGTGGCTCTGCAAGAGCCCCGCTGCCCAGAGCATTGCGGCGAGCTGAGGCTGCGGGAGAGGAGTACAGCGGGGGGGGGGGGGGGGGCTCACGAGCCAGGAGCTCAGGGGCCAGGCAAGAGGGTCCCGGGGGCGGATGGGGCCCGCGGGCGGTAGTTTGCCCACCTCTGATCTAGACCATCCCTGACAAGTGTTAGTCTAACCTGTTCTTAAAACCTCCAAAGATGGAGATTTCACAACCTCTGTAGGTAAGTCTGTAGGTAATTTATTTCAATGCTTAACTACCCTGACAGTTAGGAAGCCTTTCCTAATGTCTAACCTAAATCTCTCTTGCTGCATTTTAAGCCCATTGCTCCTTGTCCTGTCCTCAGTGGATAAGGAGAACAATTTATCACCCTCCTCTTTATAACAACCTTTTACATACTTGAAGGCTATTATGTCCCTCCTCAGTCTTCTCTTCTCCAGACTAAACATGCCCATTTTTTCAATCTTCCCTCGTAGGTCATGTTTTCTAGACCTTTAATCATTGTTGCTCTTCTCTGGACTTTCTCCAATTTGTCCACATCTATCTTGAAGTATGGTGCCCAGAACTGGACACAACACTCCAATTGAGGCCTTTTCAGTGCTGAGTAGTGGTAGAATTAATCTTTTACATTAAGGCAGATTTGTCTGCTATATGTAGATGGCCTGTTTGACTTACTTCTTGTGTCTTGCTTACAACACTCCTAGTAACATATCCCAAAAATGACGTTCGCTTTATCTGCAACAATGTTACATTGTTGACGCATATTGAGTTTGTGATCCACTATAACCCCCAGATCCCTTTCTGCAGTACTCCTTCCTAGGCAGTCATTTCCCATTTTGTATTTGTGCAATTGATTTCTTCTTCCAAGTGGAATACTTTGCATTTGTCCTTATTCAATTTCATCCTATTTATTTCAGACCATTTCTCCAGTTTGTCAAGATCATTTTGAATTCTAATCCCGTCCTCCAAAACGCCTGCAAAAAATCCCCCTTTGGTATCATCCAAAAATGTTGTCAGTGTACTGTCTATGCCATTATCCAAATCATTTATGAAGACACTGAATAGAACTGGATCCAGGACAGATCCCTGTTTGACCTGCTAATAGTGAAAGAGGCACAATAAACCGTTCTACGTCTCCTCTTAAGAAGACAAGCTGAACCAGATGCATCTTAGGAATTGGAAGGATATTTGCTGTAGAAAGCTGAGGATATCAGGGGAGCGTGACGAGTGGACAGGTTTGCGTGGCATAGTAGTTTGGCCAGTGTTTTCACCACTGTTATCTAGTTATTAGCTGAGATGCAGGAAACAAGTCACGGCAATAATACTTTTTACGAGTTGCTGAATAGTTCAATCCTCAGCGAGGTGGGGAGAAAGCTGCAGAAAGAAACAGGAAGGTAGAAGAGATTCAGGCCAATATTTGCAAATAGGGCGAGTGGTTTTGGGTGCCCAACTTGAGATGCCCTACCTCTAAAAATCAAGCCCCATTGGGGTATCTGAAGTTGAGGCCTTCAAATTAAGGCATCTAAAAATCACAGTCTAAAGAAATGAAGTGACTGGACCTGGGGCAGGGAGGAGAATAAAACAGCAGCTAGATACTGGGCTGAATTAAGCCCCAGAGCTGAACCCCTCCCTTGACTGGAACCACATCACATTTTGCAATTGAAGCCCACTTCCAGCTGAAAGGAGAACATGACTGCACAGAGAGACGGATGGCAACAGGGAGCAGCAGGAGGCCCTGAAGTAGGAACTAGAGCCTGGCTATGGATGTGTGGGGCGCAGGCTGGGTTTGCAGCTCTGCCCAAGGAGATGCCTGAACACAGCTGTTGGAAACAGCGCTTACCTGCTGCTGGGACGGGAGGCCGGGTGGCGCCAGCTCCATCACCTTCCCCGACAGCTCTGCCTGGATGCCTTCCATCCCTTCATAGTGCTGACCTCTGTGCAGGGCCACTGTTATCAGCCGCCTGAAGCCTGCGCTGGCAGCCAGCTGCTTCCGACCCGCCTCCGTCCCAAAGAGCCACTCGGTCTCTCTGCCCTGCGGTACTGGAGAAAGGGGTCGCAGTCAGGAGAGCAGAGACCACGGTGGCAGAAACGGATGGTGCTAGAAGTACAGTGCTACCAATGGTATCTTAGCCTTTAGCCAGGAGCGGCCAAAGCAACTGCCATCATCTCTAGTACAGATAAGCTCCAGAACACAGTACGTCTGGGCTGCTTGGATCGAGCTGGAACCGGTCAACAGCGTGCTCCTGTTATACTGAAGACAACAACAACAACCTTCTCCAGATCTGACAAATCAGATGCAGCCCTATGGCAGCTTCGCCAATACACCCCTTGATTGAAGCCATTTTGGATGCCCCTTCCTCCAATGCATTCGTAACACGAAGGCTTGAATGCATTGCAGGACTGTGTATCTAGAGTCTGTGCTAATGAAACAAGACGACTTAGCACTCCTCTGGATCGCGTCCATTTGTAGATTCCAAAGCACTTGGAAAGTGGAGCAAGTATCTGCCCCATATTTATGAACGGGACAGCTGAGATGCAGAGTGGTTAACTGGTCACACAGTGAGTCAGAGATGGGAACAAACTCCAGGAATCCCAACGCTCAGCCCTGTGCGCTGGACTACGTTGCCTCCTTGGATGAAAATCAAACAGGCCATCTATTATTGTTATTGTCTAGCAGACAAATCTGCCTTAATAATGTGAAAAATTAATTCCACTACTGGTAACAGGTTGGAAGCAGGCAACTGAAGAAATACTACAAATGCACTAACCAGTGTGACCTGCTTTGTGTGTGGCTAAGAAGAGGAGAGGTTTCTGCATTCTGTTAAGGAGGCTTTGATTTCATATACTGAAATCTCAGTCAAATGGGTTTTTTTTTTAAATAGTGGAGTGCTCTCAAATTCAAGGAAGGAGTTACTTCAGAGCTCCTGCTGATCCTAAGGAAGCTGGTAGTTTGTATACACTATAAATACGATAGCCTTTCCTTGTTGGATGCATGTCTAACTGCAATGAGTGCATTTATGATATTAAAACAGAGCGAATTTGTCTATTTAACTTTTACCTGGTAGTAACAACAGGACTGAGCATCAGAGAAAGTCAGTAACAAACACATATGACATTATCAGCATCTGCTACACCTCTACCCTGATATAACACGAATTCGGATATAACGCGCACTCTGGTGGATCAAAGCAAGTTCGATATAACGCGGTTTCACCTATAACATGGTAAGATTTTTTGGCTCCCGAGGACAGCGTTATATCGAGGTAGAGGTGTATTTACTAGAGGGCAGATTCTGCCACCAGAACTCTCAGCTACTGGGTATCTTTCTCCATACGTAGCCTCAATGAAATGAGTGTGGCTATTCATAGGGGTTGGGAATAGCTCATTGGGAAGGTGGCAGAATCAGATCCTACTGGCTAACAGCTGTATCTTGTATTGTGTATTTGCTCTCTGAGCTGATGTAGGGGGCTATCCAACTATCTCAAGTACTGATGCGATAAAGTCCAGGTGCTTACCAGTACATCTTCAGATTACACCGATGGGCACATTTTGGAGATGAAAAATGGGGCAGTTAAATGTGATCTGTCCCACCGCCCATCTTCATGACCAGTCCCCTATGTCAGATTAAGGCTTCGTATCAGGCCACAGCACCACACTGCTTTTTTGGTCAGTGACTGGGCTCTGTCTACACACAATACCATGGCAAGCTAATGTGCTTTGATTTTCAAAACTGGGGTGTCTAAATTTAGGGGCTCAGGAGCCTTGAAAGGCATCTTTGATAACTGACTTGATTTTCAGAAGTGCTGAGCAAAGCTGGGGGGAAAAAAAAAAAAAAACGGGAAACTTTCTGCAAAAATTTTTGGAGGGGGGGAGAGAATTCATCCCACTTTGGAATGAACTGTCAAAAACGTGAAAACTTTTCACGGGAACAAATTTAAAGAAAAATTCCATTTCAGGAGAACTGAAACGAAATGTTTCTGGCTTCCTGACCGCCCTCACTTGGGAAATCTCAGCCCAGCTGCTGGAGAATCACTGAGCCTCCCTACCGGCCCCCAGCTCTGGGAGCTGGAGAAATGCTGCTCATCCCCAGAACTTTGGGGGGCGGGGGAGGAGAGAGAGAGAGAAACCTGCCTGTGTTTTGATGAAAGTTTCGTCAAGTCTGTAATAGATTTGGTGAAATATTTCATACCACCAACTTGGCATTTGCCAGCAGAATAAGTTCAGTTGGAAAATCTCTAACAATCTCTAGTGCTGAACACCCAGCAACTGCCATGGAAATGAATGGGAGTTGTTAGGTGTCCGGCAGCGATGAAAATCAGGCCTATCTTATTATACCTAACCAGAGGCTTAAGAGCTTAACTTGAAATGGTGACCCCCGCTGAAGTCAATGGGAGTTTTTCCATGGACTTCAAAATAGGGATGAAATCCTGATCCCATTGAACATCTCAGCTAGAGAAATATCCTCTCGGAGGAGCTGAACTCACTGATGAAGATGGCGAAGTGATTGTTCCGGGAGGCTTTCACTGAGGGGCTGTCCACCACGTGCAGAGTGTACCGAGGTTTCCCGGCATCTGCATCACACAGATCCAGGGAGACGTGGCTCGTGCTGGGGTTTTTATTCAGCTGGCTGCGCAGCAGAGCATACAGCTGCCTCTCCTTTACTGCCTCGACCAGCTGCTCAGCACTCTCCACCCGCACAGGCTTGTCCTGCTCCTCAGTGCAGATCTCAAGGATCTGAAGAACCGAACCTGGGATCTTCTTGAACTTGGTCATGACATAGACAAAAATGGGCAGAACAAACTGCTGCTTGGCCGCTCCGTCCTCACTGCCCGAGACCTGGTGAACGCGCACCATCCAGCCTTCCTGGGAGAAGTAGCCCACCGCCTTCTTCACCACATGGGCCTGGGCCAAGGAGATACACAGGTAGCGGCCTCCAACCTGCAGCACCCGGCTAATCTCAGCAAACATCCTGTCCACCCTTTCAAGGGTGGCCTCCTCTTCATCAACCAGGATAGCATCTAGGGTGCCCTTGTCCAATACCACCTGGAACTGGGCGTCCTGGAAATCCATCTGCAGCATGTCCATCCGCAGGTAGCTCATCTTCGGCCTCCTGTGGGCATTCCGCTCCCTCATCTGATTTATCACAACCTCACTGATGTCTACGTTCACAATGTCCTGGTAGCCCACGTCATACATCTGCTCGCTCAGTTCGGAGTTGCCGCAACCCACTACAAGAACCTGAGAAATTTAAAGAGATAATAGTTTCCCTGTGGATACACAGCACAGTCCTGTTTATCCCAACCGATCCCAAACATACATACACACACCATGGAGATCAGCAAACAATGGATTCTCTGGGAGACAAATCCACCATGAATGCTCACTAACCAACACTCGGGGATCTTGCAATAAATGTACTACAGAGGGATTCACCACATGCAAAGGAGGCATTCGACATGTACCTGTTAAACACACAAACGCAGGAATCCCTTCCCCACCACTGCACTATAGCTGCACCGGGGTGGAAGACACCATCTGATGACTAGTGCACAACAACCAGTGAACTTGAGTGGATGTAACCTGAACTGTACATGGAATTCAGGGAGACAGGATATGATTATCTGAGCTAGATTTTAGCCAGAATAAAGGGAGCCATACCCCGTCTCTTCTAAGAAGTGCCATGGGATCATTTATGACCACAAGTGGTCATGATCTTGATTTTATCTACTCGTCACCATCTCCTAACACCATGCTGGGCCATTAGCTCAGCGTTAGGCAAAACAAACAACTTATGGGGAGATACTGGCCTGGATAAGCTGAGGATCCATGGGATTGGCTGCCAAGCTGCCTCCGTACTCATAGATCAGGGGCGGGCAAACTTTTTGGCCCGAGGGATGCATCCAGTTTCAGAAATTGTATGGAGGGCCGGTTAGGGGAGGCTGTGCCTCCCCAAACAGGCAGGCGTGGCCCAGCCCCCACCCCCTATCCAACCCCATTCCCCCACTTCTTGCCCCTGATGGCCCCCCGGGACTCCTGCCCCATCCAACCCCCCCGTTCCCTGACGGCCCCCCGGGACCCCTGCCCCATCCACACACCCCCTGCTCCCTGTCCCCTGACAGCCCCCGGACCCCCCCACCCCTAACTGACCCCCCCACTGCCCCATCCAACATCCCCTCTCCTTCCTGACTGCCTCCCCCGGGACCCCATCCAACCACCCCTTCTCCCTGAAGACCTCCAGACCCCCTGCCCCCATTCAACTGCCCTGTTCCCCGCCCTCTGACCCCCCTGACCCCTATCCACACCCCTGGCCTCCCTTGCCCTCTATCCAACCCCCCCTCCCTGCCCCCTTACCGTGCTGCCTGGAGCACCGGTGGCTGACGGCGCGGCTGCACCATGACAGGCAGCCACGCCACCCGGCTGGAGCCAGCCGGCACCGCGCAGCACAGAGCACCGGGTCAGGCCGGGCTCTGCAGCTGCGCTGCCCCAGGAGGTCGCCGCCCCGAGCATTGCGCCAGTGGCGCAGTGAGCTGAGGCTGTGGGGGAGAGGGAACAGCAGGGAAGGGGTCGGGGGCTAGCGCCCCGGGCCAGGAGCTCAGGGGCCGGGGAGAACAGTCCCATGGGCCGTAGTTTGCCCACCGCCGTCGTAGATCCACATCCACCCAAGCAAGTAGCATTTGGGAGTGTCCTGTTCTGGGATGGATCTTGCATATGTTTTAGGCTTTGAGCCACCCGATTGTGACACTGGGATGTGGATCAAAGAAATCTTCTGTATTCAGCACCTAGGAGATCAGCCCAGCCCCGGTCCTGCCTATACCTCTTCACACGTCCATATGGGGCCTGCCCTAAGAGAATCAGACTCATAGAAATGTAGGGCTGGAAAGGACTTTGAGAAGTTATTAAGCCCAGCCCCCTGCACTGAGGCAGGACCAAGTAAACCTAGACACTCCGACAGGTGTTTGTGCAACCTGTTCTTAGAAACCTCCAATGACGGGGATTCCACTGCCTCCCTTGAAAGCCTATTCCAGACCTTAACTACCCTTAAAGTTAGAAAGCTTTCCTAATATCTAACCTAAACCTCTCTTGCTATAAATTAAGCCCATTACTTGTTGTCCTTCCTTCACTGGACATGGAAAACAATTGATCCCTGTCTCCTTTATAACAGCCTGATAATAGTCCTCAAATATGGTAAAGATTTCTGACCCCCCCCCCCTTCTTTTCTCAAGACTGAACATGCCCATTTTTAAAACAAACTTTCTTCATAGGTCAAGTTTTCAAAACTTTTATCATTTTTGTTGCTCTCCTCTGGACTTTCTCGAGTTTGTCCACATCTTTCTTAAAGGGTGGCACCCAGAATTGGACACAGTACTCCAGCTGATGCCTCACCAACGCCAAGCAGAGTGTGACAATTACATCCTGTGTCTTACATCAGACCCAATTTGCGATTCCACTACAACCCCAGATCATTTCCAGCAGCTGCACTGCCCAGCTGGTTATTTCCCTTTTTGTAGCTGTGCATTTGATTTTTCCTTCCAAAGTGCAGCACTTTAAACGTGTTTTATTGACTTCCATCCTGTTGAACTCAGGTTGTTCTGAATTCTAATCCTGGCCTGCCCCGTGCTCCTACCCCCGTTTACCTGGCGCCAGACACCAACGTTACAACCAGGCCCTCCCCTGCGTTACCCAAGCGGCTAATAAAAACATTGGCACGGGACCCAGGACCGACCCTGGCAGGACCCCTCAGATGCACCCTCCGAGCGAGCCCGTGACACCTACTCTCTGGGTGCGATCCAGCGGTGCTCCCGTCTGGCAGTGGTTTCACCCGCCCCCTCTTCCCTGGGCTGCTACTGACCCTACCTGGGGGGCCTATGCCCCGTGCCCTACGGGAATCGGGGGAGCCGCGGACGCGCTCTACCCTTCGGCCCGGGTCTCGGGCCCCACCCAACGGAGGAGCCCCAGGCCACCCCGCGCTCACCTTGTCGCGGGGACGCACGTACTTGTGCAGTGCCGCGCACAGCTCCAGGTAGCCGCCGTACCACTCGAAGGCGCGCGGCCCGCGCTGCTGGAAGAAGCGCTCCCAGTACTGGGCCGAGCCAAAGTCCCGCGCGCTGCGGGGCAGCAGGGCCATGGCGGGGGAAGGGAGCGTCCCGCCGGGCCGGACCGGCCCGCCTTCCGAGTCCCCCTGGCAGGCAGACGCACTGCGAGCCCAGATCGGGGGCTCTCCCCACGTGCGCCCGTGCTGCCCCCACAGCGCGATCCCGGAACGTTAGTACGCTACGTCCGCGTTCGGAGCCTGCCATTGGGCCCCTCCTCCGCGCACCAACGTCACAGCTCATTGGTTGCCTCTTTTATCCGGCTTTCTTCCCATTGGCTCGTTACCTTCCCCACCCCGCTGTCTGTTGTTTGAACCTTGACAGGGGGCGATGGGGGATCGCGGGACAGGGCGCTGCGCGGCGGATCTCCCAATGCCCAGGATGAAGGGGCTGCTGTGGCGCTCTGTGCACTCAAACACGACACAGCCCATCTGCGCTCCGCTGAGGGCGTGTGGATGAAGGGCTCCCCTTGCCCCCTCTCTCTCACTGACAGCTAGGGTAACCAGATGTCCCGATTTTATAGGGACAGTCCCAATTTTTCGGTCTTTTTCTTATATAGGCTCCTATAACCCCCCCACCCCCTGTTCTGATTTTTCACATTTGCTGTCTGGTCACCCTACCAACAGAAGTTGGTCCAGTAAAAGATATTCCCTCCCCCACCTTGTCTCTCTAGTAGGCTGTGCAAGCCCACAGCATTTTGCACACTTACCCCAGTGATGGTTCACTAATTCAGACCCATATGTGCTGGGGGCAGACTTTCTCCGCTGTCATATTGCTGCCAACACGGCTTTATTTTTCACAATCAGTTTTGAATGCTCTCTCTCATCTATTACCCACAAATCACTGTTGCTGTATGTACCCCTACTACCTCAAATGAAACAAGCCCTTAATTTTAGTTTAATGTGCTGGGCTTATCCTCTGTTAATAGATTATGCAACTGTTACTGCCTTCCCCAATCAGCCCAGGCTTTGCTTCACAGCCTCAGCCCTCTCCCAGGGCTGGCTTTAACCCTTCCAGGGCTGGAGCATGTGACTACCCCGCTACAGAGCTATACATTGGTACCTTCCAAAGCTAAGTGCTACCAGAACAAAGAGAAGCTTGGGTTTTTAGGCTGCTCCCTGAGTCTGCAGTTCTGTATATAGGAACTGCTCCCACAGGCAGCTCTGTTAGGGCCCAATGGGTAGCAAGAACAGAAGGCTTTCCAATAGGCATCTACTACTTTACCTGCAAATATACAGTAGCATGGTTAGTCTGTGAATGAAGATGGCACAGGCGTTAGAGCAGGAGTGGCCAAACCGTGACTCACGAGCCACATGCGGCTCTTTTACAGTTAAAGTGCAGCTCGCAGAGCCCCTCATCCCCCCCCCCATTCTCCACCTACCAGATTCGGGGGGAGCTTGGGACTTCTGTCTGGCAGAAGGGTGGTGGGGTTGGAGCTTCTGCCCAGCGGGGAGGCGAGTCTCGGTGCTTCAGCCCTGGGGGGCGCCCCTGCCGAGGCTTGGGGCTTCAACAGGAGCGGGGCTGAAGCCTCAAGCCTCAGCAGATATGCCCCAGCTCTCAAGCTTCTGATGATTGTTGTATGCAGCTCGGAGGGTCAGTG